AATATTTAATGGAGACATTGTTCCCCCTAGAAGTGCAGCATGCATCTTCAGGAATGGGCCAAATTGCAATCTGAGAAGCTATGTCAAAACCACACCTCTCTTCCCAAGTTCACCTCTTGCTTTTGGCCTTTACTCTTTTCTCTTAACCTGAATTTCTTCCTATGTATGTCCCTGGGCACCTTTTGCAAATGAGTCCCTTCTATGAAAAACCCATCCCTACCCCTGGCCCTTCAGTGTATATAGATATGCTCAAATTTGCATTGACCACAAAAGTTAGACCCTTTTTTGCCACCCTTTACTAAAAAAATGCATCCTTCAGTTCTGACACTGATATCATAGACATTAATAAACTTCCCTTGCCAAATTTTTCTGGTTGAATATAAAATAACGTGTTTTGTTTTATGCATTATTTCTGCTCTTGTTGTTAAAAGACTTTTTCCTTTCTGAGTTTCACTGCCTTTTTTTTTTTTTTTTTTTTTTTTTTGGAGACAGGGTCTTACTCTGTTGCCCAGGTTGAAGTACAGTGGCACAATCACAGTTCACTGCAGCCTTGAACTCCTGGGCTCAAATGATCCTCCTCTCTCAGTTGGCCATTGAGATTACATGTGTGAGCTGCCATCCTTAGCCTTCGCTACATTTTTAGAATACAAGTAGGTTAACTATATTCAATCCCCAATCATATATTTCTCTTTTGAATTATAACTTAAAATTAGGCTCCAGAAGAAAGTAGAATACATTTCATATTTATTACAATTAATTCTTAAATTTTTTCCAAAAAAAATTATTTCAGAGATGGTCAGGAATCCTCAGAAAAGGAGATCCTGTAAATTTTTGTTTATTTGATTTAGAGACAGAGCCTCTGTCACCCAGTCTGCAGTGCAGTGGTGCCTTCATGGCTCACTACAGTCTGGACCTCCTGAACTCAAGCAATCCTCTCATCTCAGCCTCCCAAGTAGCTGGAACTACAGGCATGCACCACCATGCCCACCTAATTGTCTATTTTTTATAGAGATGATGTCTCATTGTACTGCCAAGGATGGTCTTGCACTCCTGGATTCAAGCTATCCTCCTGCCTCAGACTCTAAGAAAAATAAGAAATCTACAGTAGTTAACTTGTATTTGGTTATCTGGTTTACCTATGGATATTAAAATGGCAATCAGCCTGTTATAATCTAGGATGAAACATTATCTCCTTTATAGTGTGAAAATAGAGGAAACTAGTTAACTCTACATGAGGTAAAATGTTTGTATTTGGTGTAAGCTTTGGTGAGATTTACTGGAATACTTTGGCCTGCTTATAGTCAACACATGTATAACAAGATCACCTTTGTTAAATATGTTGAGTTTGCTATGCAATTATTGCATTTCCAGGCATTCACATGAGGACAACGAAGGAAGATTTATACTGTGGGTGATAATAGGCTCCTGGCAAAGCCCAAGTCAGTTGAAGACTCACTGCATCGCATAGAGAACTGGAAATGTATAGATTAGTGAAGCAACCTATGACTTTCTGTGCCAGACTTTTCACCATTGCCATACTCTTCTCTTTCACACCCTAGGCCTGTTTAACATGATGTTTCTGGTGCCTGGGATGAACTTTGCCTTCCTCTTTATGTAGTGAATTCCAACTTGTCCTCCAAGATCCAGATTAATTGCCACCTTCTCTGCGAAACTGTTGAACTTAGATTTACCCTCTTCTCAATACTGAGCTCAAGGCTCTTTTCACCACTCTTTATTTTAACACTTATACATTTTGATGCCATCTTTTAAGTAAAATTACCATGATGGAAATGCAACGAGAACAGGGAGAGTTTAGTTTTATTTATTTGCAGTATCCTCAGTACTTTAAAAAATTCCTGGTACAAAGGAGCTGTATAAACATATGTTGAATGGTCCATTTTTTAAGTATGTATAGACACATGGGCATGGTTTGGGGGAAGGAAACAAGGTGAACCAAATATGGTTCTCATTATCCATATGATTCAGTTGAGCTATGAGGACAGACATCAGAAGATACAGGCATTGGGATTGCAAAGAAGAAATAGATGCTGAATTAGACAGAATACTTCCATTAAATTTTTATGAGCTATTTAGATATCATATGCCAAGTGTGAAATGATGACAGAGAATTGAGTTGTAAATACATATTAAGAGAAAAGTATAGAGACTTGAGATTGTCCAGATTTATCAAAAGAGGCAGGATATAAAGGGCAAGATTTAAGTAGCAGAAAAGAGGAGATTTAGTATCAGTGAAATGAAGGGATGGTGATAACGAAGGACATGCTTTGTGAGTAAAAATGAGCAGATCATTTATTAATAGAAATTCTGGACAATAAAGTTGAGAGATGAGCCAAACCTAGACTCAGAGTGGGTGACATTGTGCAAGAAAGACATTTAGCCTTCATGAGTTTCAGTTTCCTTATTTGTAATTTGTTAATAATAGCTTGGTTTTGCTGTTTCACAGGATTGTTGTGGCACGCAAATGAGTCAGGATGATTCTGACATAGGCAGACATAAGCATTAAGAAACAGTAGGATGCAATTTGGAATAAACATTATAATTTAAATAGAGGAAAAATACTGGAAGGAAATACATCTGAATTAACTGTACTTACAGTAGAATGAAAAGATTATGAATGATTTTTTCCCTCCAGTTTTCTTTATATTCCATATCATTATTGAAGAACACATAGTAATTAAAATGCATTTTATTTAAAAAATTATCATAGGTGCTGAGAAAGTAAGAGTGAATAAAAGAAACAAAGTTTGACTTCTCAAGGAGCTTACATTTTAGTAGGCACAGACAAAATAATATGGATATATAAGATAATTTTGGATAATTGCTCCAGTAGTGATACGGTGATAAAGAAAGGTGCTGCTGCTACACAGAGGGGTGAGGGAGAGCAGAAACCTATTTGAGCAAACTCCAACATGCCGTGTTGGGGGAGGATGTTATAGGCAGTGGAACAGGCAGCTGTAAAGCACATGAGCAGACTGAGCTACATGTGTTCAAAAAACAGAAGGAAAGTGAGTGTGGCTGGAACACAGGGATGGAGGAGGAGAGTGGTGGGAAGTAAGTCAGAAAGATACACCAGGGCTCGATCATGAAGGACCTTTGAATCTACAGTGAGGAAATTGGATTTTATTCTCAGTTCAATGGCAAGACCTAAGTTAATTATATATATATATATATGCATATATAGTAACACATATATGCCTATATATGTGATAAAATTGAACTGCTAAATGATAAAATGAACTCCATCATAATTTCCTGCCATTACATAATCTGCCCAGTTCTAATTAACAGGGGAAAATGAGGTCATTGTATATACAGTCACATGTGTCCTTTCCAGCATTAGATATTTTAAAAGTGAAAGCAGTTTGGCATCATCTCTCCACGCTAGTATGTTGGATGATTGATAACATATTCAAATACCATTTATTGAGCTCTCCACAATGGGGTGAAGATAAATGTTGATTGAAAACACCAGTATTCTGCATGCCAATTCTGGTTCTCTGCTTAATTTGCTGTTATTTTCTTTTGCATTTTTTATTATTCAAAAATAAAAAGGAGCAATGGTGCATATGAAAAATAGATGTTAAGGAGAAAATTTGCAGATGTTAAGCTTTGTAGATTTTGCTATAGAGTATTTCAGAATAAGTATTTATATTTCTCTTCATGGCAGCACATTATTTGTAAGAAATAAAGAGCTGAACTCCTTGTGTGGACATATCCCTGGTAGAGTGATTTTGGCACTTACAGAGGCACGTTAACTACTTTAAGTCCCTGTTGCTTCATCACTGACTTCATTATCCTTTCGGAGCACTCTACAGAATCTGCTCCCAGAAATGCAGAGGCCCAATGGAAGAGCGAGCCTTTTTCTTCTGACCTTTTAGTGCCTAAAACAATAGACATATGAAACACTGTGCACTTGTAATGCTGCCTAGAAAGTAGGACATTTCTTTGTGACAGCACATTTTAATAGAACTTTGATGTCAATTTTAAAGAGTCCATTCTGTCTTCAGTGTCTGCGAAGGTAAATATTGATCTTAAGCAACATGAGGCACATTCCCATCTCCGGAGAGAGCATTAATATACACACAACCTTCTTTCTGTAGGATGAAGAACTGGCAGCATTAATGCTGTCAGTGCCAGACAGAGAAACATGATTTGCCTTATCCTTTCCTTCCCTTCCTTTCCATCAGAAATAAGAATTAAAAAAAATAAAGTCTCTCAAGGTTTTATCTGCCTTGGTCTTTGTTTTGTTTTTTGAAATGATTAGCATTTCTTAATCATTCAGAAAGCAGCATCAAAAACAAAACCACTTTTGACAGTTCCCACTGGAATAGAAAAGATATGACACCAATCCCTACATTTTCATCCTCAAAAATGATAATGATCCCTTCTGAAAGAAAATGATACAATTTTCAATGAGCTGTGATTTTCTGTCTCCTTTGATGTAGTCATCAATGCCTTTTCAACAGATGTTTCATATAGAGTCCATGTCAAGATATTCAAGGTGATTCAGAATAAATAGATGATACGCTTCAGCCCTTGCCCTTGGGTGGCTTAGAGGCTTGTTGTTTTGGGAAAGACAAATATAACTCAAATTACTTAAGAATATTTAGAAGTAATTTAGTGATTTTAAGTCTTGTGTTCAAATTTTGCCTTCATCCTTACCTCTTTCCAGCTGTGAGATATGCTTATCCCCTGGAACCTCAAAATTCTCTACAAAACAAAGATAATATTAGTAACTATCTTCTAGGGTTGCCATGAAGAGATTAATAATATAATGAATTATGCATATGTAGTATTTAGCTTGGTGCCAGGCCTCCAAATAAGTACTTAAAAAGCAGTAGTTACTTTTTCTGGGTAATCGTTGATAAGTAATAATTATTAGGTCAAGCAAGTTTTCTTAAAAATGGCCTTCGAGAATTATATGACACACTTATATTCATGAATTGTAAATATGTGCTGTTTCATATTTTTCTTAATAGGCATTTTAAATTGTTGTTTGGCATACAATGTTGGTCTCCCAGAAGCGAAAATATTTTCCGGTCCTTCAAGTGAACAGTTTGGCTATGCAGTGCAGCAGTTCATAAATCCAAAAGGCAACTGGTAAGAATATTCTCTTCTTTATGATTTCAATAAACATACAAAATAAATTTCATATTTGACTTCAATTGCTTTTTCAAATTGGTGCCTTTAATAAATGTACTATAAATGGGTGGCCCTCAAATATTCTTAAATGAACAATCTTACTTTGAGAGTTGACAACTGCAGACTGATCATTAATGGGATGGTATAATGATTCATTTTTTAAAACCTGGATAGAAAATTGTCTCTAAATATTCAAAAGCAATATAATACCAGTTTTGACCATCTAATAAATAAGTAGGTAGATTGATAGATAGAATGATAGATTTGTCTTCATTTCTTATCACGTAAACTGATATTCATTGAACTTTGTAAATCATCACCTAGTTATTAATGCTATCTCTGGACCATTTCTAAATGGTAGAATTGTTCCCTAAATTTTTTCTTTAGCAAGGTTTTGTCTACTTGCTTCGTTCTAAGTTAGCCTTCTCCCCTCCATGTGGTGAAGGGTCCTCACAAACATCAATGCAAAATGTACAAAGGTGGCTTTCTCTAGCATATTAACACCTTTTATTTTTGCCATAAAGTGCCCCCAGTCTTTTCATGCTATGTGATGGTTGCATTTTCAAACCATGGCCATTCTACCCAGGTGAAAAACAACCACCTCGATGGATATGGAAATCTAGTTCCCATAATAATAATGCAAGTGAACCCAGAGAAATGAGGTAATTTGAAAGTTGTATTTGGGAAGAAGAGCTGTAGCTCCTATTCTACCAGAGTTAATGCCCACTTGTGGACACAGGTCCTGCCATGGGGACCTTATCTCCTTGTTGTAGCAGAAGGCTCCAGACCATCCCCACTCACCTTGGAACTTCAGATTCTGAATCTCCACGCTGTAGAGCTCTTTTCAATGAGTAAATGGGCTGTTGTTGGCTTATCAAATAAGAACTGTAATGTATGACCAAGTGCAGTGGCTCACGCTTGTAATCTGAGCACTTTGGGAGGCTGAAGTGGGAGGATCACTTGAGCCTAGGAGTTAGAGACCACCTGGGCAACATAGGGAGACCTCATCTCTATTAAAAATCTAAAAATCAGCTGGGTATGGAGGTGCATGACTGCAGTCCCAACTACTCAGGAAGCCGAGGTGGGAGGATTGCTTGAGCCCAGGAGTTTGAGGCTGCAGTGAGCTATGTTGGCACCACTACACTCCAGCCTGAGTGACAGAGTAAGATCCTGTCTCAAAAATAAAATAAAATAAAATAAAAAAACACTATAGTTCATAAGCTTTTTTTCTGTGTGAACTTCCATTTGATACTCTAAACAATTGAATTCAAAGAAAGGTTCAGGATCACATGTTGGGGCATGCCTGTCTATTTGATGAGGAAACAAAATGAAATCATCCCCTGAGACGGCAGCATTTCTCAGGAGGTGTCTTGGAGGATGTAAATCGTGAGCTGGGTTTTAAGCAGTGGGGATGAAGAGGCTGGAGATGAGTATTAACTAATGTGAGGAGACATGGAAAACAATGCATGTAGAGACAGTTTATCAATCATCTGGAAAGAAAAGAACATCTGGTTGGAAACTAAAGATTAGCAATTACTGTAACCATTTGGGATACGAGAGAGTTGCATGTCTAACAATTATCAAGTGATGCTTTGATAATCATAAAGTGGTGAGGAGGCTAGAAAGACGATATGGTGGGTATATTTTGACCTTGGAATCTAGCAGATGAGGTAGCTAGTGACCCACAGTTTTACATATTCAGCCCTAATTTTTTCCCTCAGACTGCTATATTAAACAATTCATTCAATGTCTCCACTTTAATGCCCAGTAGACACACCAAACTTAACTGAGAGAACAAAAGTATCTGATTTTCTGCACAAGCTACGGAGGCCAAAAATCTTGGCTTGTCTTCTTTCTCCTCCCCTATATCTTATCCATGAGCCAGTCCTGTTAATCCTATCACCAAAATACCAATTATACCTGGCCATTCCTCACTGTCTCTCCTGCTGCCACCCTGATAGAAGCCAACACCAGCTCCCACAGGCACTGCTGCAGCAGCTTCTCCACCTGCCTTCAGCTTCCCTTCTTGCCAGCTTTATTCTGCTCTCTTTGCTCTAGCCAGTGTGAACTGTTAAAAACATGGCTCGGCTAGAAACAGTGGCTCACACCTGTAATCCCAGCACTTTGGGAGGCCACAGCGGGCAGATCATTTGAGGCCAGAATTTCAAGACCAGTCTGATCAACATGGTGAAACCCCATCTCTGCTAAAAATACGAAAATCAGCCAGGTGTGGTGGCGGGCACCTGTAATCCCAGCTACTCCAGAGGCGGAGGCAGGAGAATCGCTTGAACCTGGGAGGTGGAGGTTGCAGTGAGCCAAGATCATACAACTGCACTCTAGCCTGGGTGACAGAGTGAGACTCCATCTCAAAAAACAAAAACCACAGCTCATTCCCTAGATTAAAATTCCCTAAAGGATGCTCTGTGATTGAGTGTCAGCCTGGGGTGTCAGCCTGTCTTTCCTATTATCATCTTTTACACTTTCTCCTTTGCTTTCTATGCTCTAAGGACTAAGTCTTTTGTCTGTTCTTTGAACATGCGTAACTCATTCCTGTTTCAAAGCTTTTGTAAATTCTTTTCTCCTGCCTGGAAGAGTCTTCCCTAAGATCATCACTCAAATGGTTTTCATCTTTCAGTCTCAGCTCAAATGTTTCCTCCTCATAGACCTTTCAGAGCAACCCTATCTATATAGCACTCAACTGCTGAGTCACTCTAGCCTTACAGGTGGATTTATTTTCTAACAATTAGTACTATCTTAAATGATATATACTTGTTTATATGCTCATTATCTGTCTCCTGCCACTGTCTCTGAGTTCAGGGACATTGTTTTGTTGACTGCTGCATTCTCAGCACCCAGACTGATATCTGGCACTGAGTAAAGGATCAATAATTATTTGTTAAATGACTAAATGGAAGTCCTAATTCTAAATGATTCATCCCAAGTGCTATACAAAGTGAGCTATAGTAGACTGACTTAGGACATATGAAGTAAAAGGGAGCTTCAGATGAACTCCACTGTTCTAGTCCATAGATATGGCCTAGCTGAGGACATCTGGCACTGAATTTGAAGTGATTCTTTTAAGTAACAGCTTTCCTGGGCAGAGTAAATCTAAGAGAAAGAGCCAACATCAGTAATAGATATTATTGAAGGTGATAAGCCTTTCAAGGATTGTAAGGGGCTCAACCACTGGCCATGCTGCAGGTTGGAAGTTGAACAAGACGAAAAGGGACACAGAGTTGAGAGGATCCCACCAGGCAGAGTCCTGGGAACATGAGAGGCAGCCATATCTCCTTTCTCTATCTAAGATTACCTCTGAGTATCCAAGACATTGTTAAAAGACAAGTATATTTGCAGTTTATAGTGAGATTATAGTGCTGGTAAGACCAGGGACACTGGACATTTCTAAATCCTGCCTGGACCTTCTCATGACATCACTGAATGATGAATAAACACAGGACAATAGGTCTGGGAAGCAAGGCACCACTCTATTATTGGCTGGGCCAGTGCTTTGAACAACAGTATAGAGCTTTCTGGCAAGGTGTAGCACTGAGTTTATGCTCAAGGCCTAATCACCAGATGATACAAGCATACCCCACTATGCAAGAGGAAGAGACAGCACCTGTCTGACCTGAAGGGCTGAACCATATGGAATTGAGAAGCAGGAAGGACAGACAACAAAAGTTGGCCAGGCAAGTCTGTCTGAGTCCTTTTGTTGGTCTGGTCTTAGGAAGCAAAGAAATAAGAGACGCAGAACCATGGACATGATTTGCTGAACTACATGAGGTACAGAAAGTGCAAAACATAGTTGCTGGCCTTAAGGAGTGTGGATAGAGTCAGTGAGGAAGACTTTTATGCAGAATAGACAACTTTGAATAATACAGAAGACATCACTCAATGTAAACCCCTTGCAGTTAATGGTGTTGGTTTTCTTTTAGTGTCACTAGCTATAATCACTTAATATTAAGAGCTCATATTCTTTTCTCAAGGCCTGGATCATTAGAGAGACAAGGTTTTCTCATGACCCAGCCCTGCCAAGGTACCTTGCCACAGAGGGCAGGGCTGTGGCCAGGATCCACGTGAGTGGGTTATCCCATTACAGTGCTAGAGTGGGCCACGTTAGGACAAGGAGTCTTCACGACTCTAGGCTCAAGGAAAATCATATGAAACTTGGAACCCAGAATTGCCTGTTTGTTTTGACAATGGGCCCTGTGCCCTTCTCTACTCTTAATTTATGACAGTTGCATAGGCATTATGGAAGTAGCAGATGTGGGAAGGACTGTTTAAACATTGACTTTCCTTCTGATACTAATCAAGTTAGCTTTGGACACAGAAAGTGGTATGACCATGAATTATTCCTTTGCAAATTGTGAGTCCTTTTTCCATGGATTTATCATATAATACATGCACATGTGCACGCACGCGTGCACACACACACACACAACTTTGTTTTCTTTATTCCCTTCTTATTCTGAAGCTGTCATTTTGGTACCCTTTTCCTCTGCTTACTTTGACTTCCTTTATAATCTGTCTATCTAAGTCCTGACTTCACGCCTTTCCCTCAAACAACTCACTGAAGCCTCTAGTCTGAGTATTCTTAAATCATACTCTGTTATTTTTAAAGTATAGTTTTAGTTCTTTCATGTGTGCCATGTTTCTAAGAATTTATTGGCATATTTACATCAGGATCTACCAGATTTTAACAAAATAATCTTAACTCTTTTGCTAGTTTCATTTATGAGACTTTCATTGCACTATGAACTTCAACTCTAGAAACAGTGGTGACATGGCTTTGATAATTCTGGAGCCTTTTTAACAGTCTCAAGTGAGCGGGATAATTTGAAAGCAAGCTGACCTACCAAGCAGAGTACCTGGGCAGCCCTCTGGCTGTAAGTAAGGCTGTGGTCTGTTCTCTTTTCAGTGTAGGCGGAGGGCCATCCCGCTTCAGAGCCCTTACTTCA